CAAGACGCGCATGGCAGAGACTTGGAAATCCTGCAGGTCGACGACGAGGACTGGGTGAGACCCGATACGAGACACGCGCACGAGAAGGTTCGAGAGACCTCGTGAGGCGAGGAATATCGCGCGACCAAGCACGCGGGGGCGTACACGGACGTGATGCGCGGGTACACGAGGCGAACCGTGCGAGCCGAGGGCGAAGATTCTAGAAGATACTTATTATTAATTTAATTAGTTGTTAGTATTTAATTAATTAGTAGTTATTAAAAGTTGTTAGTATGTTAGTGGCGTAAGTTAGTTCCTAGGATTAGTTTATGTTAGAATATATTTGATAGGTTAGTAATAGTTAGAATTATGGTTAGCGTGAGGTTAGATAATTAGTGGCGGTTAGGTTAGTATTTATTTATGTTTAGCCGTAAGTTATTTAGTTTGTTAGGAATTAGTATTTTAATTATTTGTTAAGTCTTGGGATGCAAGACGTTTAGGACATTTAGTTGCCTTAGAAGTAGATATTATTTCCTAGTTAGAATTATAGCTCTCATAGGACTAGATCTAGTTTCTCCTATAAATACCCATATACTCTTGTTATTTTTTTATATGTGATGAATTAAATATTTGAATAGTCTTAGTTAGTAGAAAATCCAGAACTTTTGTTCAAACACTTTGCTTTAGTTTTCCACCAAAATTCTATTGCAATTTTATTCTTTCCAAGAGGCACGAGCGTGGCTCGAAGAACACCTATCGGCGATTTAAGGCGCGGACTAGCGGCTTATCGACAGTCGGGACACGCGATCTTCATCATTGGTGCTTTCATTAAGAGTTGATTAGATCGTGTGTCTTTTTTCTTCCCCATTCTTTTCTTTCCTATTCTTTTTTTTTTTCTCTCGTTTTTCTTTTTCGTTTGATTCAAAAAAAAAGGGGGTTTTCTTTGTTAGAGTGCCGTGAGTTTGTTGTTGGGAATTATTTTTCTTTTGGCCTAGTTTTTGTTACGTTTTGCTTGCTTGAGTATTCAAAAAAAAAAAGGGTTAAGTTGTTAGTTTGTGTTGCGTGAGTTTTTGTTTTA